GGAGGGCAGGGTAAGGGGAAGAGATCAACCGAAGGACTTGTATACATGTATATAAGCCAAACCAATGGACATGGACAACAGGGGAATGGGAGCATGAGTGTGTGTGTGTGTGGGGGAGGTTGGGGATTAATGGGGGGGCTGAGGACATATTTGTAATACCTTAATAATAATTAAAAAAAGAAAAAAAAAGAAAGGCCTCTGGCAAATGACACTTATGCTGAGATCTAAAGGATGAAAAAAAAGAAATCTGAGAAGAGATCTAAGAAAGAACATGCTAGGCATAGGGAACAAAAAATACGAAGGTTCTGAGTCCAAAGAGAGCTTAAAGTGTCCAAGAAACAAAAAAGAGGCCAGTTTGCTGTGATAGTGACCCCAGAATCTAGCTCAGTTTCTAAAATGTTGGCAATAAATAATTTTTGAATAAATAGACAACAGTATAACATGAGATTAGGAAGGAACGTATAGGAGCCAGATCATAAAGATCCTTTTAGGCCATGGTCATGAGCTTGACTTCAAGTGCAATAGGAAGTCACTCAAAGGATTACATTTTAACAGAATTCTCTATCAGCTATGTGAAAAATAGGTTGCAAGAATGACAGCAGCCCTAGCCAGTTTGGCTCAGTGAATAGAGTGTCAGGCTGAGGAATGAAGGGTCTCGGGTTCGATTCTGGTCAAGGGCATGTTCCTAGGTTACAGGCTAGATTCTCGGCCCCAGTGGGTGCATGTTCAGGCGGCAACCACTCGATGTGTCTCTCTCACATCAGTGTTTTTCTCTCTTTGTCTCTCCCCCTCCCTTCCACTCTCTCTAAAAAATCAATGGAAAAATATCTTCGCATGAGGATTAACAACAAAAAGAATGGCAGGCCCTGACCGGTTTGTCTCAGTGGATAGAGCCACTGAAGGGTCCCGGGTTAGATTCCAGTCAAGGGCATGTACCTTGGTTGTGGGCACATCCCCAGTAGGGGGTGTACAGGAGGCAGCTGATCGATGTTTCTCTCTCACTGATGTTTCTAACTCTCTATTCTTCTCCCTTCCTCTCTGATATATATTTAAAAAAAAAAAAAAGAATGACAGTAAAGTGACCAGATGGGAGACTACCATAGAGGTTAAGTATGAGAAGATGGTTGCTTGGAGATGAAAAGGAGTGAATGGATTACAGGTAACTTTTTAGGTTGAACCCACAGAAGTTGCTTATGAGTAGGATGTATAGTAATTGAAAAAAAGAAGAATCAAGGATGACTCCTAGCTTCTGTGTGAAGAACTAGGGAGATAGTGGTAGCCTGATATTTAGAACCATGCAACTGGGTAAAAGACAGAGATAAAGAATGAGGCCAATATGAAGCACAGAAATACTCCAATACTTTAGATGAGAAGGCACCAGGAATCAATGATGCAAGAGAAGACAAGAGGAAAAAGAACTTCAAGAAAGTTCTTGCACTGAATGCTATTGAATGGTTGACATGAGGGCAGATAAGATGTTAATAGAAATGCATTAGATTTAACAACAGACTATGTTGGGTCAAGTATCATATGTTACGCATGTTTCAGAACAGAGTGCCTTGGCAAGGGTTTGCCAAGTTTTTCTTCTACCCAAAGCCACAGAAACATATTAGAAACTTTCTTCCTTGTTATGGTTTGAGAAACTATAGGCTTTTCATGAAATATTTCCCATACCTGAAATTTCTGCATATAAACTAAAAAATAAGAGAAAGGAAAATTAAAAGACTATGTGGATAATAATACCTTAAAAAGAAAACATTCAGCAACTCCAGAGGTTGGTATATGCCAAAAGTTGCTTTTCCCTCCCATTAGAGAAGATATACAAGGAGTGAGGATAAAATCTCAAGTTCTTTTACTTTCAGCAAGAAGACACAGCAATTAAAAATGCCTAGCCACAGCTTCGTGGAAGTCTGAATATAATCTTGCATGGGGTTTACTTGAAATGTGCTTTTGTGGTCCATTAAACATCATCCTCTGAAGTCTTAATCAAAGGACATGTTGAAGTTTAGCATCATAATATTAACCTATTTCTCTGTATGTATTCCTGAGGCCAGATCTCCATTTTTTTTGGCTTTAATTTTTCCATTATTTGCGCTTATTGATTAAAATCACCCAGAAGCTGCTGACATCAAACCCTATGCCATGGGAAAGAAAGCTCAACATGCCATACATTAGGTCACTGACATCCATCCTAAGAGACTTCAGCAACAGACAGCTTTGTGCCACTGGGAAAAAGAAGTGGACATCATTAGAGAATCCTCACAAAACCACTATAATTACCCAAGGTTTTTAGCATTGGAACAGCTGCTTTGAGATGAACAACCATAGGTTCCTCAAATGCATTGACAGAAAATACATGAAATAAGATAAATGAAAAAATAATGGCCCCTTGGATGGTTAAATAACTTTGAATCTTCCAATCAAGATTATGGTTTGAGCAGTGAGGAAGACATTTAAGAAAAATTAAAAAGAACACAAATAACAAGGAAAAGCACTGCCATGACAACTGAAATACTAGAGCTCTGTGAAAGGAATAAGAAAAAGAGAGAAATGGGTCAATGGGAGACACAGACATTCCAAAACAATATCCATGCCCTAGCCTAGAGCTACGTTAGAGGTGGAAGAACAGGATAAGGACCTGGAAACAGTTGGGTGGCCAAGTGGCTTCGGTCCTCCCTGCTGTTTTCGGTTTCATCCCCTTACCTCTCACTTCTACAGACCCATAGCTGTCAAGGACTTCCCCCAAGATCCTCTAACCTTACCCTCATCTCTCCTATTCACTAATCCACAGCTGGTCTCACACAGAGAACTGGGGCAGCAGAAGGGCAAGTGAAGACAGTGGAGAAGTAGAGGAGGAAATGAAAGAATTAATCTAGTCTTTCTCTTTACATGTATGTAGCCCTCTAAGCAAATATTTCAAAATGGTTCCATATAATTTCTCCTTTACAATTCCTGTCCTGCTCCTATCCATTCAT